CTGCTGAGCCCCTACTTTGTGCCACGCCTGATGCCTGCTGGGGACCCAAATCATCTTTTTCACACTCGAGCACAGAGGATAGGTTAACACCATCAAATACCCCCAAGAAAACAGTTATTTAAATAGACAGTGCTAAACAAGCGAATAAAACGTCAGAAAAGAAAGTATGTCAAATTTTCACTTACAGTTCCAGCCCAAACTTCAGGCGATCTCCCTGCCAGTTTATAGTAGACGTGCACGTGGTCACCTTTTTTAAAATTCACAAAACGACAGTCTGGGCCTGTAAAATCTTCTAGAGCTTCACCCTTACACATTAACACTGTATATAAAGAGAGAGAGAGAAAAAAAAATGACCAGATAGCAGGATTCAATGTTCACAGTAAATATTGATTTATCAGGAAATGTAAGAACCCACTGTAAACAATTAACTTTCTCCAGTACTCTCTGGAACCAGTCGCTTCTCAATTCCCATGCTCAAAGTACCTAAAACCTTCAGAGCTTTATTGTTATAAATCCTGACACTCCCTGCAAGTAGAGAGAGGTGAGGGAAACTTCTGCTGGTTTTCTCTGTGGATAATGGTGAGAAACGAAAAGCAATGTGTCCACCACAACACGCGCCTGCTCTCAAGTGACACTCTGGTTCCCTCTCTGACCCAGTCCTCGATCTTCACTATCTCATAATCATCAAAAAGCTTCATTGTGCAATTAGGTAAATTCAAGTGCAGAGACTTACTAGCTTAAGCATGACTACATGTAGAGGTAATAGGAAACTGGGGAGAACACCTAGGAACCCCCACGGGGTCAATTAACGTGAACTAACCCCTTGAAGGCACTATAAGTGGCTCTAACTGCTACCACGGAACCATAACACTGTCAGTTTCATCTGAGGCCAAGTTATTCTCTCCTTATAATATCTGGATAAATGAATGGGAAATGTCACACCCTATTGAGGATCCAATCACATTACAAGGTAGTCTTTTCTGAAAGATATAATGTTGACTGTACCTAACAGTAAGAAGTTTTCAAAACAAAGTTGAAATGTCCTTATTTACTTATTTCTATAAACAAAATCAAAAGTGCACATCATCACATGTGGCAGGGACAAGCCAAACTGTGAGAATTGTTCAGTAGTTACCTTCAGTCCTAAAATGCAGGACTTAAATCACATTTGCCCTAGAAACTGGTATAACTAGAAACTGATATTTTTCTTTTTGTTGGCCAAATACAGTTTCTGATGTAAGATGAAATGGACAATAAATACAATTAAATAGCAGAGACAAAGAAGGATGAAATGGAAATAACACTTCTTCTAAAAGCCAATTAGCAATAAATACATTAAAACATGTCTTTAAATATGTATTTGAGGGACAAACATAGAATTGAAGGAGGTTTGGATTTTGAAACTAAAATCTGATTATTTTAATACATGTCAGCATCCTAATTCAGAGGCTATTGGGTGAGAGGCCAGGTTGAAGGTGATGGACAGTAGAAGATTGGGGACTCTTATCAGAATTGGAGATAGCAGTGTTTCGCTTGGTCCCCCTCAGAAGAGATCATTGAGGATTTAG